CATAACTAGAACGTCATGCAAAATTTCAAAGCGACCAGTGCTATTTTTCCGTCGTCTAGTGTGGTAATGGGTTACTAAATAATATCTGAATGCATAAGCACCTGTAAATATTTACGTGTCACTCCCACATCCGTGTACATATCACAGTAAAATTGGTATCAATTTAAAGGTCAACCACTCCTCTTGGAAATACTTCTCGGCTCTATGTCCTCCAGGAGTAAATATATACGCCATAGAATACAAATTTTGTAATTTTTCACACAAAAGTCAGGGTCCATTTGACCCGCTAAATATTGACCGATCTTTATCAAAACAGGTATGCTTATTCTTTGGCCCAATCCCCTTCTCCATGTAAAAATTCGAGATGTTTGGGCCATAATTGCGGCCTCTGGAGTGACCAGAAAAACCGAAAAAAATTAAGTATTTGGTCCATTTCATCCCCTAAATATTATCCGATCTTTACCAAAAACAATAGGGGTCTTCATTAGGCCGAACCCATCCTACATGCAAAATTTCGTGAAGATTGGTCCATAACTGTGGCCTGTATCGTGTTTACAAAATATAATGGACAGACGGACGGACGGACACACATGTCTAGATCGACTCAGCTAGTCGAGATATGACGATTGGTATACTTAAAGGTGGGTCTAGGACCAATATTTCGCGGCGTTACAAACTCTTGGGGCTGCACAAAGCTATAATACCCTGACAACATAGTTGTGTAGGGTATAAAAATATTGGTATGAAATTGATGTACTTCATTTGGTATACTGCCCCACAGCTCTCTGTTCAAAATTTTGATGCCAATTGGACAAACGTTTTATTCTTAGTGCATAATTAGCACGATCTTTGACGAATCTAAACCGATTGCAATGAAACTTAACACACGTCAGTCTAGGCTCAATTCAGAACGCCGCATAGTGATCGATTTCAACTTACAAATCAATTTAGATATGTTGCTGAAATTATACCAACATTCACTCAATACCTGCGGGAATTAATAGGCAAAACATGGGATCGGGTATTTTTTTTGCTAATACTATCATATTCCGGTTAATTTTCGATATTCTACAGGTTTTTGAACAATTTTTAAGATACATATTTTGTTATTCTATTTTCTCATACGTACATAGAACCATAAACGGGTCCTGTCCGTTTTAGTTGTTTTGAATACTCACCTCATAGTATGGTCATGGTATAAAAATTCGATCCCTTCGAAAGAACAAGAACAACGTCTTTAACCGCACCAAACTGTTTACACCCTCCATCATGCGATAGACAAAATCACTGTGCCATGATAAATATCTTCCAGGAGAAGATATAAACTTGCAATGAAAATGTTCTATGGAGTTATCTACCATTCGAAGCACGAAATTATAACCACCTGGTAATCCTAAAATATAGTCACTTCAACATAAGTGGAAGTTTATATTGGAAAATACGACCGGGCCGAACATTTTATACCCTACACCAAAATAACTAAACTGGGACTTGTAGAGATATCCATAAATTGCTGACCCGAGAAAACAAAACTGCAGATGGGAAAATGGACTATGAACTTGAGTATACCGAAAATGACCCCTATATATGTATAACATTGACTGATATTAAAAACTGCAGATGGGAAAATGGACTATGAGCCGGGATAGGCTCAGCGGGGCCAGGTCCAGCGGGGGCCAGAGATACCACATTACATTTAACACTTGGTTGTTGTTTATCACACAATATGTGTCTGAAGATGGATAGACACGGGACGAGGATTTGGTATGTGATGAATTGGAACGGCATCTGAGGATCAAATATAAATTAGGACTGTAAGCAGACACCCCGGGTTGGGGGCACATTCGGCGAATATGATTTTTTTTTTACAAAACTGTAGAAATGTTTAACTAATACTTATTTATTATATGTTTTTGGTACTAGTTTTTATAATTAAGTATCGGACTACAATAACCTGCAATAAACCAATAAGGAAAGTAGTAAAGACGGACTGGGCCGACTATATGATACCTTTCACAAAATTGATATCCCCTATTCGGTACGCCGCATTGTTAAAAATTCAATCTCAATCAGATACCCGTTCGATATACATATGTGATCTATGAATGCATCTGTACCAATTTCAACAAAATGCAATAACGTCATTCGGGTCTCAATTTGATACGTCGTGCAAAATTTCGTGCTCATCGGGCAAACATTAGGTGTTTGGTGCGCTATTGTAAAATCGGAGTATATATGTATATGTGGGAGCTATGTCGAAATCTGATCCGAAACTTTCAACACATCATTCTAGACTCAATTCAGTACGCCAAATTTCATGCAAATCAAAGGATATATAGGGACTTTGGTGCACCATTTGCATTAAATCGGAGGAAAATATATATAGGAGCTATATCAAAATCTGAAGCGATTTTCACGAAATTTAACACACATCGTTCCAGACTTATTTAAGTACGATATGCCAAATTTCGTGAAAATCGAAAGATATATAGGGACTTTGGTACACCATTTACATTAAATCGGACAAATATATATATATATATATATGAGAGATATATCTAAATCTGAACCGATTTTCCCGAAACTTAACACACATCATTCTAGAACTAATTTATTACTCTGTGCCAAATTTCGTGCGAAAGATATTATGTCACTTTGCTACACCATTTACCTTAAATCGGATGAATATATATATATGGGAGCTATATCTACATCTGAACCGATTTTCAGGAAACTTAACACACATCATTCTAGACCTGATTCATTACATTGTGCCAAATTTCTTGCAAATCGAAAGATATATACGGACTTTGGTGCACTATTTACATTAAATCGGACGCAAAAATATATATGGGAGCTATATCTAAATCTTAACCGATTTTTCCTAACTTCAATAGGGTTCGTCCTTGGGCCAAATAAGTGGCCTATGCCAAATTTCATCCAAATCGGATCATAAATGCGACATGTACTTTGTTCACAAAAATCCATGGGCGGACAGACGGACATGCGTAAATCGGCTCAGAAAGTGATTCTATGCATATTCTCAAAAGGAACATTGTGCCTATCTCATTTCCTTTTGCCTGTTACAAACATATGCACAAAGGCATAATACCCTGTACCACAGTGTGGTGAAGGGTAGGAAGGAAGATTTGACAGACTTGCCATCTCAGAAATTATCAGCAATAGCTGCAAACTAAAATGTATGAAAGTATATCATAAACTTTGGGGTTAGCAACTCAATATCCACCGCTTCATAACTCTAAAATTTGGCCAATAGCGAATTTGTCCTTCTGGGTTTTAAGGGGATACTCTCATAGGTTTCTATATTGTTGTTGTTTTTTGTAATTAAAGATAATACATTTTTTCGATCCCTTGAACATCCGTTTCTCAAAATTCCGGCGCAATTAGAAATTTAGCTCTGATATGAGCTAGAATTATTGACATCGCTCGAATATTAGCAAAATTGCAGACCTAGGTAAATTTTTGAAAATTCGCCTATTTTGGGTGAAGAACCAAGCTGCTGATGCTGTGTTTACCGGTATTGCTATTAAAATTTGTAACAATATATTATTCTTGGGAATAGATTTTCGTCACATACTACAATCGCATCAAGTGAATAAGATGATCGGCGATCTTTCGCTTTTCAAATAGTGATCCACAGAGCCACCTTCAGAATTTGTTTTTCGGATGTATACTCCAATTATTTCACCTTACATTTTTGGGTGTACTCCCCAAAAATTTTCTAAGTTTACGTCTAACGACAGGCTTTACTTCCCCTCAAGACGATGTCTTCCCTTTCACACAATAAAATTATCTCATTGGTCACTTTAACTGTATACGTTTGTTCTTTCAATATATCTGAAGCTTGTTACATGTTCTATACGTTTTGAAACATTTTTCATTCGCGATATAAAGTCCTGAGTCGTCATCATCACATTTTGTGGTATTCCTTTCTTTCGTGGCCGGTGAAGCATTAAAGATCATCTTTCCAATTTGTAAGAGGGGGCGAGCGACATAAGAAATTTTTCGACTTGGCTGAAATCGGCATAATGAGACTTTCTTGAGAAGTTATAGATTCATTTTAAATAAAAAAGTGATATTTTTAAACCGTGAATGGTAGGTCCCCTTCAATGTAGTTCCCCTTAAATGTACTCGCCAAGGGCTTTCATCCCTAAAATTTTCTAGCACAGTGTAATATTTGATACTTGAAAAACGTGACCACGTAACTTGACGATATATTAAAACCGTGAAAAGGGTGTCCCCTTAAATGTACTCGCAAAGAGCTTTCATCCTCATCACAGGGTAATTGTTGATACTTGAAAAACGTGACCTCCATACAAAATATTGAGGTAATGTAGGATATACCTCATCGTGGGACCGACCATCCCATTTTCAATACCCTCCTAAGAATAGTAGCAAAGTATGTGTACTACAAAGCTCTATCTCTAGGGTACTCTATTGTGATTTCAACAGACTTAGCAGATGGAAATAATAATTTTAATATAATCTAGGTCTCCAGTGAATATTTCTGGTGGACATTTACTATATTTAGAACGAGATACCCTTTTGAGAATATGAGAATATTGAGACAAAATTTTGCATAACGTATGTGAAGTTTTAATGTAATCGGTTCAGAATTCGATATAGTGGTGGAGGGTATGGTATAGATTGACCATTCCGACTTTTGTAACTTAACCATGGCTGTTTCGCTTTTTAATTATAATTTCTAAAATGTATGTTACTGGTCACTAAATATTTTCAACATTTCCTATTCCTCATAATAACAACATTCGTCATTTATTTTTTTCCCAGTTCGCCTATAATGACATTTGCAAAACTCAGTAATAAATTACATTTCATAAAGATAATTTAATTTGTTCCCACACACACATATGACCAACACATAATAACAACATATGCATATACATACATTTTTATTTAAATGCACATACTTATAAATATATATTTCATATTTAATTATGAACAAAAAGTTTACTTACGTAATTGAATTTCAAATCTGGATGCATGTAATCAACTCCTGTGACAGAGAAAAAAAGAAGAATTAAAAAAATATTAATGTATGTGTGGGTCTATTTGCTTGCATCCAATTAGTTAATGAAAATATTTCCAATGACACATATACATACATATGAATATGTGTCAATTGCATTTTGAACTTACCATCATCCATAATAGCGGTGGTAACATTTTTCCCAGTGATACCCTGATCCCACGCCGCCTGAACATTTAAATCTAAACGTGCCTTACCACCATTCTGACCGGTATTCTTTAAATACCATTGAAAGGGAAAGTAAGGATCTGTCGGTTCGGTACTTTCCGAACTCGGTTGTGTATTATAGGTGGCATCGAATTTCAGTCCGTGGATAGCATGAACGGCTGGTCGTAGTCCACGTTTGACACGCTTGAAACCGGGCTGTTGTACAGCAGTGTGTATCTGTAAAAGGAAGAGGGAAAAGGAAATGAATTACATTATCAAGCAAATGAAAAAAGTGATAAGAAAACCCACACCGAAATTTCATATCGACTTTATGTAGTTCGAATAATAATTTTCTTCAAAAATATATTACTCATGGATGATTTGACGAACGAAATTTCAAATTGATTTTTGTCCATTTCTTACATTTCCGTATAACGAAATTCAATTATAACTACTTTATGATGAAATCATTTATTAAACAGTGTAACAAAAATTTTGGTTTAGGAACTCTTCATTATTGAAATAAAAAGCCTTGGAGTGTGAATTTTCCTGTTACTGTATTAGTGTTAACATTTTTCAGCCGAACATTTTAGTTTAGTTTTTCGAAACATATTTTTAAATTTCTCTGTTGCCCTGTGTTATTATTACTTACCATTGGATGACTTTTGAGTAATCGTGTATGGGTAATACTACGCCGAGACCGGGCATGAGGCAGAGCCCGATGTTTGAAGTGATATTCATGTCCATTGCCGCCCGCCAACTGTAATGGAAAAGACAACAATAAATACATAAGAAATGTGAAAAAAGAACAATTCATCTAATAAAACTGTTAATGGATTGATTATTTGTTTTTGGCTTTGCAGCAATAAATCGAAGTAATAAGAAATTTATAAAATTTTTGATTGAAGTTGAATGGAAAAAAACATAATTTAATTTGTTGATATGTCATGCGGCTTGTTGGTATGACAGTTACATTATTCTTTAATTTAGTTATCAATAATAATTTTCTTATGTGACTATTAAGAGAATTCGGAAATAAAAAAGATAAATATATATCAGTTATGTTTGTGAAATCACACTAATGCTCCTCCACCATAGTACTGAAGGTATACTATGTTCGCTATTCCGTAAGTAATTCATCGATGTAATTTGAATATTTAGGATTTATAGAAAAAAACTACAGGTTGGCTGATATTAAAAAAAATTTAAATATTATTTAAGAAAACTGCAAATAGGCGTACGTTTAAAAAAGCAAGAACTACACTAGATTTTAGATTTTTTAGAAAAACTTTAGAAGGTATACACGCAGATTTATTACAAAGTTTTTACAAGGATCGCAAATAAGCGTGTATTTTTTTAATATTTCAACAAGGACTACGGCCAAAATTTTATAAAAACTATTTTTTTAATATCTTTAAATGTGCAAACGGAAGGCTTTTTTATTAAAAATATTTTTATATATTATAAAAAATAGAGATTAAATATAGGCGTAGATTTTATAATATGTATATTTATAAGGATTACAGATAGGCATATAATGACTACAGATGGATGTAGATTTTTTTCATAATATTTTTGGTAGACAAAGGTTTTTATACCCTACACAACTATGTTGTCAGGGTATTATAGCTTTGTGCAGCCCCAAATGTTTGTAACGCCGCGAAATATTGGTCCTTTAAGTATACCGATCGTCATATCTCGACTAGCTGAGTCGATCTAGACATGTGTGTCCGTCCGTCCGTCCGTCCGTCCGTCTGTCCATTATAATTTGTAAACACGATACAGGCCACAGTTATGGACCAATCTTCACGAAATTTTGCATGTAGGATGGGTTCTGGCTAATGAAGACCCCTATTGTTTTTGGAAAAGATCGGTTAATATTTAGGGGATGAAATGGACCAAATACTAAATTTTTGTCGGTTTTTCTGGTCGCTCCAGAGGCCGCAATTATGGCCCAAACACCGCGAATTTTTGCATGGAGAAGGGGATCGGGCCAGAGAATAAGCATGCATGTTTTGATAAAGATTGGTCAATATTTAGCGGGTCAAATGGACCCTGACTTTTGTGTGAAAAATGACAAAATTTGTATTCTATGGCATATATATTTACTCCTGGAGGATATAGACCCCAGGAGTTGACAGCATATCCAAGAGGAGTGGTTGGCCTTTAAATTGATACCAAATATAGTGATGTATCTACTCAGATGTGGGAGTTACAGTCAAATATTTACTGGTGCTTATGTATTCAGATATTATTTAGTAACCCATTACCACATTAGAGGGAGAAATATCGCGCTGATGGCTTTGAAATTTTTCATGAAGTTCCAGTTATGGTCAAGAACAACGCCTACAATTTTCGGTGATGATCAGATTAACATTTTGGGATGAAATGGACCGAAAACATAATTTTTGTGTGTTTTCGAGTAGAGTATAATCCGAAAATCACAACACACCCACCGTGAAGGTAATCTGGACAAGTAATTAGAAGGACTGTACTGAATATTCGAAAAAAGTAAGGAAGAGGTATTGTTAACCTCTAATCGGGCAAGAGGGTGCAAATATCAAGAAATATTGCCCAGGCTAGGAATAAAAATCCGCAGAAAGTTAGAGTTACGTGGTAGTTGTGTAGGGTATCGTATGGTCGGCCCCGTCCGACTATACTGCTCCGCTCACTGGTTTAAAAATACATTTATAATAAGGGGAAATAGACGTAGATTTTATAACTAACTACCAAACAACCTAATACTACCATTAAACGTATTTATACCCTACACAACTATGTTGTCAGGGTATTATAGCTTTGTGCAGCCCCAAAAGTTTGTAACGCCGCGAAATATTGGTCCTCGACCCACCTTTAAGTACACCGATCGTCATATCTCGACTAGCTGAGTCGATCTACATCCGTGAAATAATTTGTAAACACGATACAGGCCACAGTTATGGACCAATCTTCACGAAATTTTGCATGTAGGATGGGTTCTGGCCAATGAAGACCCCTATTGTTTTTGGGAAAGATCGGTTAATATTTAGGGAATGAAATGGACCAAATACTAATTTTTGTCGGTTTTTCCGGTCGCTCCAGAGGCCGCAATAATGGCCCGAACATCGTGAAATTTTCCAAGAATAAGCATGTCTGTGTGAAAAATGACAAAATTTATATTCTATAGTGTATATTTTTATCCCTGAAGGACATAGACCCCACAAGTTTATATTATATCCAAGAGGAGTGGTTGACCTTTAAATTAATACCAATTATATTGTTGTATGTGCTCGGATGTGGGAGTTACACCCAAATATTTACAGGTATCTCCGTATTCGTATATTATTTAGTAACCAACTATCACTCTAGAGAGCGAAACTATAGCGCTGATCGCTTTGAAATGTTCCAGGTATGGTCAAGAACAACGCCTATAAATTTCGGTGATGATCAGATAATAATTTTGGAATGAAGTGGACCAAAAACTTAATTTTTTGTGTTATTTTCGAGTCGATCTATAGACCACAAATGAAAGCCGAATATCACAACACAACCCACGGTGAAGGACAATAGCTGTACTGAATACTCATAATATTCGGAAAATATGTCAGTGTGCTGTTTACCTCTAATCGGACAAGAGGGTGCAAATATCACGAAATATTGCCCAGGCTCGGAATAAACATCCCCAGAAAATTTGAGTTCGTGGTAGTTGTGTAGGGTATCGTATGGTCGGCCCCGTCCGACTATACTGCTCTGCTCACTGGTTTTTAAATATTTTTATTAGCACTATCCAAGCGAAGATTTTTTAAAAAGAGCAGTATAGTCGGACGGGACCTACCATACGATACCCTACACAACTACCACGGAACTCTAACTTTCTGCGGAGTTTTATTCCGAGCCTGGGCAATATTTCGATATAGTTGCACCTTCTTGACCGACTAGAGGTCAACAAATATTACTTATATTCAGTACAGTCCTTCTAAGTACTTGTTCAGATTCCCGTCACCGTGGCTTATGTTGAGAAAAAACACCCCAATATCATAGAAAATTTCAAAGCGATCCGCGCTATAATTTCGTCCTCTAATGTGGTAATGGGTTACTAAATAATATATGAATACGTAAGCACCTGTAAATATTTACGTGTAACTCCCACATCCGAGTACATACGACAATCAACCACCCCTCTTGGATTTTCTATCAACATCTCGGCTTCTTTTCCATCAGGAGTAAATATATACAAATTTTGTCATTTTTAACACAAAAGTCAGGGTCCATTTGACCAGCTAAATATTGACCTATCTTTATCAAAACGGGCAGGACTATTATTTGGCCCAATCCCCATCTTCATGTAAGAATTC